GGTCTGGGTCAAGTCTAAAGAGTTTTCACTAGAAGAAAATGTCTCTCAGAAACTCCTGCCTGTCTATTTTGGACCTTGGAAAGTTCTTAAAGTGATTGGAGATGCAGAGGGACCATCTTACATGATTGATATACCCCCTCATCTCACGACCTATTCTGTTTTTCACGCGTTTAAGTTGCTACCTTATGTAGAAGGAGATGAATTCCCCCATAGACCATCTATGATACCGCCAGATATGGATGGTGGATATGAAGTGGACCGAATTATAGAACAAGGGTTCTTCTCTACAGGTGCACGAGGACGACCCTAGAAACAATTCAAGGTTCGTTTTAAGAGTCAGAAACCATCTGTCCTAGTAAAAGAGAACTCCTTGAATCTGCTCTTGATATTGTCTCTGCTTATGAACGTGGGTTGAAGTCTTAAATATTTCTGCGATGGAACTCGAAATTTGGGTTGGCAGGAATGCAGTAACCCTGTTCAGCAGCAGACCAGGGCTCAGAACTTTGCCCCCTGTAAGACACAGACTCAGTTGTCTGTGCTGGGCTATGTGACCGAGACATGCCCAGCCTGAGTCTGTCGAGGAGGCTGTGTGACCGAACGCAATACAAAGGAAATTCAACAGTCAAAGTCAACTGTAGAGTCAAAGGTACCGCACCCAGGCCTATGGTCGAATACATTCACTTGTTGTGTGCAGGTACCCAGACAACATTCAGGGCGGGAGGAATACAGTTTCTGGCCAATCTGGGCCCTCATTCATATCGAGATCTGGACGGTGCAGGACTTCAGCACCCGGGGTCCAGACCCCGCATCCACGCTAAACGACCATTTCGTCAAAATAAACATTTTTTATTTTTTGAACGAAATTGAAATAGAGTTTTCTGGCCGAAAACTCATCAAAATTTGTTGTTCCTGAGGGTCCAGCGTTTGACCCCCTGGCTATACATGGACCTAGCTTGAAATCAGGAACCTCCAGGCAGGACTACCTGGAGGTACCTGGTCTCAAGCTAGGTCCATGTACAGCCAGAGGAGGGTCCAGCGTTTTACAAACTCCGGACCCTCAGGAACAACAAAGTTTTACGAGTTTTCGGCCAAAAAACTCAGTTTCAATTTCGTTCAAAAAATAAAAGACGTCCATTTTGACTAAATGGCAGTTCTACTTAAGAGTTAACTTCCTGGCTGGAGAACATTCAGTCTTGCGTGAATGCTGACTTCACGCGTGGACTTTGACGCTGTTGCTATGCTGCGACATTGCGACATTATCTTGACGCCGGCTCTATGCTGG